GAAAGAACTAATGGTCTTAGATTCTTAGTAGTTTTCTATTAATTTTAGAAAAATCAATTCGTACTTCAGTACCGCGGAAAGCTTATTTTTAATGGAACTAACATAGAGTTTTCAGAATTTTCCTGAAAATCTCGAAACTTCATTAAACACCCCGTAATTGTCCTGATTATCATGTCAAATTTCTTGATTCTCGTACGTTTTTCGAAACTTGTCGGTATCGTCGTCGGTGCCGGGTGTGAATGGTTGCAATAACAACGCGATCGTAGATTGTATGATGAGATATGAGGGACTCGGTGGCCATAGAGCGACCGTGTTTGCTTACTGAGCAGAACATCATGAACAGAGTTGCGACCTATCACAATCACGATCGCCAAACAGCTGATGGTAGTAACGCTTTGTACATTCCTATCAATGTGCTCGTCGAAGCTCTCTCCATGACCATCCATCAAGTTGACGAAAGAAGTAAAAAGCAACTGATGAATGTCGTCTTCTGTTGTGATCCATCACCGATCTGGTCATTCCCGACAATCACGACACGCATCTGTGCTCTTTTTGAAGCAGTTGCTGCTTTGCTTGCTTATGTGAGTGTGTTGGTGACTGAGCCCAACAGCTTCCGTTTCATGTTGCCTGCTTTGTTTGTAACTCACACAGTCGCGCCTGCCGAGACGAAGTTGGAATGCACAGGCATTGTTTTCATTTTCTTCTGTCGTTTCGCTTTTTCTCATGATCGTACTGCAGAAGTCTTCACTGTTTTCGTTGTGCTTTTCATCATCAGCAGCGAGTGTAACGTTTTGCTAGTGAGCAGCGACCATTACTGGTGATTGTTGTTTGCCATATCTCTAACTCTAACTGCGTGACAAAACGATCTGTCAGCGATAGTCGGTTGATGCGAAGACGAGTGTCACGTGAGTGTCATGATATTTTGCATCACTGATCATGAGTATAATCTTAGGCCCCCCTTAATCGCTTTATTTGTTAATATGAGTACATGGTAATAACAAAACTTCGTCTCAAGTGGTGTGTCGTAATATAAGGAGCTCCTTTGACTAGTGACAAACGTTTTTGCTTACTGAGCAGAAGACCGTGGGTTCAATCCCAAGTTCTTTCACGGTATAGGATCGTTAGGACGTCAATTCAGCTTATCCTGCAAAATGAATTCTGCTGCAAATCCAACCCTTTTATTCAACATCCCAGTGATTTCTAGTAGCAGTGCTGAGGATTCCTCGGGTTAAACATAAGAGGGTGTTACGTCAACACATTCCTACCCATCATTTACATGACCTGCGTTCGGGCGTTGGTATTTCCTACATTGAGATCAGAATTTTTTATACATTGAGGATGAATGCTAGTACCAAGCATCGTCTATTGGTTCTCCGTGTAATAACGGAGTAGCATCCGCGGGCGGTCAATCATGCTCATGCGTAAGCGTTATTTTCCAGATGATCATGATGCTCTCAAATTCTTTGAAGTTTTCTAGATATTGCTCTTGGCAGGGTGCCTTCCATTCATTTTGACTATAACAATGTTGCATGGAATTATGGGTTCATAAGATAATATGATGATATTTTGTATGTGTAAGTATCAAGAAAATATTGTAAAGTTTGTGTTTGACACATCACACCTGCAAATTTAGCTTTGACAGAGTCACAATGAGCGATTTTCTGATCGCCTCTTCGCGAAGAGTGAAGAGCAAAGAGTGGGTGGGATAAATCACAAAATCGCTTATTGCGATTCTCATGTAGCAAAATTGGTAGGTATTATGTGTGAAACACAAACTTCACAATATTTTCTTATTGCTTACACAAACAAAATATTATCATATTATCTTATTATTCCATAATATCATAAAACATTTGTTTAGTCAAAATGAATGGAAGGCACCCTGGCTCTTGGATCATCTGCAGTTTGTTTTAATTAATCGATAGGCCCTGAACTTTTCTAAAAAATCTGAAGTTTTGAAATTTCCCAAATGTATCCAAGTTTTTTTTCGGATATTCATGGAACTGCACGGAATTTCTCAAAACTTTCCCGATGCTCTCTAACCTGCCCTGAACTTATCAGAACTCAGCCTTAAAGATCTTGAAACTGCCCAGGACTTGAACATCAAAATTTGAAATTAGCTGTAGCATTTTTCTAATGATCACACAGAAAAAAAATTCTGAATTTTAACTATCGCGTAAAATCTCCCTTGGTTTAATTTTGAGCCACACTTGGCATAAACAGCGAAATCGTTTACAAGCTTGCATGCAATAATTTATGTGCGCTATACCTCGCAGAAATTTACATGAATTTTTCGAACGGTGCAGTACCGAAAATATCGGTATTTTCACGTGCCAGTACCGGTATATCGGTAGCAGAAAATCACCCGGTATTACCGGTAAAACCGATACCGCTAATACCGGTACTACAACCCCAATCGTATGATATAATGATTAATCATAAATTTGCAGAATGTACATCCATTAACTGGATCATCAGAAAGCTATTGTAAGGTATCAATTAGCTCCTCTATTCATGTTTCCACTGCCACCATACAAATATCCGAATTAGTTTTACGGTGGTCATATGGATAATGTTTTGAGGTCACTTGCCATAACCATGAGAGACAATGATTTCGACCATATGGAACAACAATCCGGAATATCCAGAGCCGTTTCTAAAGTGGCTATGAGAGATGGTTTGACCATGTGGATCCAGATCATGGTTCCCGGAGTAGATGTGATTTGATATGTCTTTTGATATGGTTATGATATATATCAAACTTAACCACACGGATCCATAATCCGGAATATCCAGAACTGGTTTTATTGTGGCCATTTGGCTCTATGGTTGTAGTTTTGAGCGACATTGGTCATATTTCGTCTAGTAGATGTGATTTGATATGTTATCGGAGTTATCAAATTTTATCATGTAGAACCATAATCCGGAACATCCGGAACCGATTCTACGATGGCCATATGGCTCTATGGATGTCGTGTTGCATGCCATTTATCATATTTCGTCGAGTAGATGTGATTTGATATGTCGCTTGATATGGTTGTGAGAAATATCATATTTGACCATGTGAAAGCATAATCCGGAACACCCGGATCCGGTTTTACGGTAACCATGCTTGTTGTTTTGAATGTCATTGGCCATATTTCGCCGAGTAGATGTGATTTAATATGTTGCTTGATATGGTTATGATAGATAATAAATTTGATCATATGGATCCATAATCCGAAACATCCGGAAGCGATTCCAAGGTAGGCATGGGTTCTTATGACTGCTCTCTATCGTTATCGTTAACTTCAATTTAATCGGCCATGGCTTCTCTGAGATACACATTTTTGAAAATAAAAAGTTTGTCCGGGCTTTTACGGGTAACCTTAAATCATGTATTGCTGTATCTAAAAATCCTCATTATTAGAAAGGTGAAGCTAAATTGATCAGAAGGTCTAGGGCTGTTGGGTGGTGGACAAATAAAATCGGAATTCTACCACTAGGCGGTGCTAGTGGCCAGGCAAATATATCGAACATACAGAATAACTTTCGAAATGTCACTTTTAACCACGAGTTAAATTTAACTCGGCAAATGGTTCACAGCCTGAGTGGTGCGAAGACGGACCTCAAAATCGAACCACTTTCGAGCTGTCAAATCGAACCACTTTTTTATCATTGTGGTTCGTTGAAATAGATAGAAGTATTGTTATCGTCCAAAATAAAAAATAAATATTTTTCAGTAATGTTTTTGATCTTTTTAAAAACGTGATTCGAAACGACTCAAACAATTAAAAATAACAGTATTATGGCGTATTTTGGACCAAAGTAGACTCCTGCGCTGAAAAAAACCCTCCGATTTTTTTTCGCTCAGGAACGACTGTGACTTCGGAGAACGTTCTAAGGAGATTAATGATGATAGGGGAAACGCTCCTATAGTTGCGGTACGTTAGAAGCGTTAGGTTCCTATAGTTGTGTATGGAGTCTGCATACACAACTATAGGAACCTAACGCTTCTAACGTACCGCAACTATAGGAGCGTTTACCCTAGTACAAAAGTTCCAGGAAATTTCAACAGATTTTTCCCGCGACAGAAGAGGTTTCAGTGGATATTTTAGTTGCTGCCAGCGAGGTTCTACGGGGGTTCTATAGAGTTTGTCAGGGAAGGGAAGTCAAATCGTTGCCATTGGAGGTCCCAGGGAATTTCGACAGCACTTCCACTGAATAGGCTTCGCTTTTCGTCGTGTCCATCTTTATAATTGCAAAAGTGAGCAAAACACTTCATTCTGAATTTTATTCCACTCCGTAAAAACTCCAGCTATGAACAATGTCAACAAACAATCACAAAGTCACGAATCGGCTCTGCACAAAAAGCCGTTTGACACTTCTCTCTACCAACCGACGGTGATGAAACGTTTATTTCAACACTACCAACATGAAGAAAATTTCACTTCGCACCACTCAGCTAGTACATATTCAGAACTGCTGCATCTCTATATCCTGATTATATAGAAGGGTGATGTTTTCAGCATAGTTGATCAGGAGGCGTAAGACTACCGGGAGGTGGACATATCAATTCTGAATTCTGTCGCTAGACGGCGCTACTGTGCATGCAAATATTCTGTTCTGCTACACTTCCAGATCCTGATTATATAGACATCATCCTTCTAATCATAATCATAATCTTGAGATACAGCAGTACATACAGAATATTTGTTTGCTCATGTGGCACATCACATGACATATCAAATCACACGAGCTTTCAAACAGTAGATCATTCTAAGATGCATTGAGTATTGCCGATCACATTGACCAGAGATTTACGTATTTGCTCGTTGTTTAGGTTTAGGTTTCTGAGGATGTAGCGTAGATGTTTTAACTGTCCGCTCAAAGTGCATCCGTTTATCAGACAATATCACCACTTGGTAGCAACTATGTTGTCCATATAAACAACTACAATAATTTTAAGAACTCCACCCAACATTGCTAACGCCTTCTATTTCTATCTATTTCATTCGCAGTGTATCGTAATCAGTGGCGAAAGCGGTTCGGGCAAAACCGAGAGCACAAACTTCCTGCTGCACCACCTGACGGCCCTGTCGCAGAAGGGGGCCCACGGGTCCGGCGTGGAGCAGACGATCCTCAGTGCCGGTCCGGTGCTGGAGGCGTTCGGCAATGCCAAAACGGCGCACAACAACAACAGCAGTCGGTTCGGCAAGTTCATCCAGGTGAACTATCGGGAGAATGGGATGGTTCAGGGGGCGGTCGTCCAGAAGTACCTGCTGGAGAAGAGCCGGATAGTGTCCCAGGGGTACTACGAGCGAAACTACCATGTGTTCTACTATCTGCTTTCGGGGGCGACGGAACAGGAACGGGTTGCGTTGCATCTGCTACCGGCGGAGAAGTACCACTATCTGAATGCCAAGAACCTAACGTTGGAAAATTGTGACGAAAAGTATGAATTTTCGCGACTGAAGCAGAGCATGGAGATGGTGGGGTTTTCGGCGGAGAAGCAACGGAGGTTGTTTGCCGTTCTGTCGGCAGTGCTGCTGCTGGGCAATGTGGAGTTCTTTCCGAAGAAATCCACTTACCATCACGACGAAAGTGTACAGGTTCGGAATCCGGAGGTGGTGGGACTGATATCGGAACTGTTGCGGGTCAAACAGGAAACGCTCCTGTCGGCACTGACTTCCAAACGGGTGAAGGCCAGCGGTGAAACGTTGATCATGCAGTACAAACTGCCGGAAGCGATCGCCGCGAGGGATGCGTTGGCGAAGTGTCTGTACGGAGCGCTGTTCGATTGGATCGTGCTGCAGGTGAACCACGCGTTGCTGAACAAGGACCAAACCGTGCACACCGGGCACTCGATCGGGGTGCTGGATATCTTCGGGTTCGAGGATTTTGGGTTGCAGAACAGCTTCGAACAGCTGTGCATCAACTATGCCAACGAACATCTACAGTATTACTTCAACCTGGTAAGTTGGGTGGGGGTGCAGTAGGAGATGCCACTACTAATCGGGGTCGATTTTGATGTATTTTTTTTAGCACGTGTTCAAATACGAACAAAAGGAGTACAAGCGGGAAGGCATCAAATGGACTGATATTGAGTTTTTGGACAACTCAGGATGCCTGCAGCTGTTCGAGTCGAAACCGACGGGTTTGCTCTGCATATTGGATGATTTGTGCAAGTAAGTTCTATTACAATTTGACTACTCGGCGCTGTCTAATTCCTCACTTTCACAGCTTCCCGGGAGCTACCAATGAGACGTTACTGCAAAAGTTCAACAGCGTCCACAAGGAGAACACGTTTTACGAAAAACCTCAGCGAAAGGAGAATGCATTTATCATCAAGCACTACGCCGGAAAGGTGAAATACCAGGTACGTGTCTCTTGGCATTTGTCCAATCTCTCCGATCTTCGTTTAATCGGCTGCCTGTTTTAGGTGGCGGAAATGCGCGAGAAGAATCTGGACCTGATGCGGCAGGACATTGTGAGTGTGTTGAAGAACTCGAGCATGGCGTTCGTGCGGGAACTGGTCGGTGCCGATCCGGTGGCCGTCTTCCGGTGGGCCATCCTGAGAGCATTTTTTCGTGGCTATTTTGCATTTAGATCTGCCGGCACCAAACACCGGAAGGAACGTGCCGATCAGTCCTTCAGCAAGCTCTCCACCAAGAGTCGCTACCGGGCACCGAACGAGAGCATTGTCAGGTGAGTTGAATTGGGTTCCAAGCTTTCGCGCACTCATTTCAAACAGTCGTCGTAATGCCGTCGGTTCCCCGTCTCCTCCTGCGTGTGTGTTTAGTCGTAAATGCACTCCTTTCGCGCTACATGCTACTCATTCCCGTGATGGTAGTGTGTATAGGTATTTCATTTTCCAAGGTGAAGGTTGATGCATTGATCATCTTACATTTCCAAAAAAATATAGCACCACACAAAACGTTACTGCTACAAAAATTCTCTATTGTCTTCTCATCGTCTCTTTTCTCTTTCCACACTGTGCACTGTGCCACGCGTAGCCATCTAGTGACGGTTTCATCAGTGAACCTAACTATTAATCGAATCGCGTAAGTGGGAGCCCCCTCGGCTCTTGTCATCAGTTTGTGAATGTTTTTCGTTTAGAATTGTTTTATCTGTTCTGGTTCTCTTCTCCCTACTACCTATGTGTTGTTGTCGTTTTGCGCGTCCTTTTATTGTGTCTGTTGATGAAGAAGGGCTTTGAACAATGATTGTTCTATGATTTTTTTTTGTTGGTGATTGTGGTTCCTTGTTTATCGCATCGTTCCCTTCCTGTGTAGCTTATGCTTCCTATTTCTGTTTGGAAAAATTTTCGGGACCTCTTCTAGCTTTTAACGAAAGAAAACAACATGTGCGTGTGCAATCACTTCCATCTTTGCTTACTGTGTCATATGGATTGCCTCTTGAACTCTAGACTGTTCTTGTTATGTGTTTGTGATGTCCAAAAAGATGTTGTTTTATTCCCACATCATGCTTATGTTTGGTTTTACATCTATCGATCCTATCCTGATGGTTGGTTTTTGGTTATCAGGAATAGTTGTCGGTGAATTAAAAAGTTTTTTTTACCAAGACGAATAATTTAGGCTCAGTAATCGTACAGCTATGAATCACCCACAATTTTAGATAACTGTTGAAGCTGAATAGTCCCCCTTTATTATGCGCCGCGAGTGAGGTTAGATGACTCGCTATCACTAGTGAGGTGACAAAAGTCACCGCGAGTGAGGTGACTCTTCGAGCAAATCAAATGGGGAGTCACCTCACTCGTAGCGCAGAATAGCCCTCAGTAACTATGAGGTAACTACTGTTGTTCGGATCAGTCGAACTCCAATGCTTCCATAGCACTCTGTCATTTTGGCGGTTAAATTTGCGGCCGACGTCAAATAGCTTCTCATCCGAATAAATCACCACGATGTCTGGGTTATCCGCGAGCCTCTTCTTCAGGATTTTGCTTCTTTCCAGACGCTTCTTGTTTGCTGCTTCTGAGAGAAGTTGACGTTGTTGCAGTTTAGAAGGATAGAAGCCAAGATGCATCGTCATACGCGACACCTGATAGTCCTTGGCCATTTGATTTATAGACCTTACCGGATTCCGACGAATTTTGTTGGCCACCGCCTTTATCAACGCCCGTATCCGAACGGAACGGGGTCTCCTTGACCCAGGTCTTCTTGAAGCTCCTCTTCCATCGTCCAATAGTTTTTTGCATCGCCAGACAAACTTTCGATTCACACCAAGCAGCTTGATTATCTCACCGACCAACTTCTGTGTCTCCAGCTGCTTGAAAACTGCGAGACGTGTCGATTCCCGATCCATATTTCTGTAATATCACAAAACTTTATATCACGCTAATTATGTCTTTACTCTTAAGGCCTGTATAGAGATCGAAGCGAAGCGAAAATCTCATACAAAATACTACATTTTTCATGAGATTTTTCACCTGCGTGAAAAACACAATTGACAAATATTTCCCTTCGCTTTGAACTGTAAACAAATACGATCCAGCGAAATCGAATTTTGTGGATCGCATCTTTTTCGCTCACGTTAACTTTTTTCACATATCTAGAGTAACATTTGAAATGGGCCTATGTCCAAAACGTAAACAAACCAGAAAATGAATTTTAAATTTTGGCCGCCTGTATTCAATTCATATTTAAGAAAATTGAAGTATTTTAGGCATTTATATTGTTCACAATAACAATAGTAACTGTATCTCAGTATACAACATCCAAAATATGCGAAAACCTTTCAAAAATATATGAAAATCGATAACAATATAATTTCATAAATTAATAAGCCTTTTTTGTGAATCTTTCAATGGATTGGCCCTTTTTGTTAAGCCGTTGTGCTTGTCATCAGAAATGGTAGGCCCTTTGCTAAGCCTTTTCGCAACGTCAAATAAATTCAAAACAAATCATCGGCCCTGCCTCAAGCAGTAGGGCCTAGCTTTGGTTTGAAATTTTTCAATCATCGGCCCTTCTATGTCACTAGGCTTATCAATGAAATAAAATAAATGAATGCTTGGCCGTTTTAGCGTGCGGGCCTATTAATGAATCGAAAAATTTCGTTGACCGGCCGTTTCGAAAATCGAGTTATTTTTAATGATTTTTCTCGATTACGCGGAACTTTCCTACACGATTAGTAGCTATCAAGCAGTGCTAAAGAATGGTATAAAAACCCGATTTGTTTACGTTTTGGACATAGGCCCATTTCAAATGTTACTCTAGATATGCAGTGCTCGCGAAAAGAGCAGCAGCTAAGCGAAAAGTTGACGTTTCGAGAAAGAGCGTATCTGTCAGATTTTCACTTCACCGGAGGTGTAAACTGATCGATTTCGTTTCACATGAACTGTAAACTGCGAAAAAACGAAACTGGAAAACGTTCCACACTCATTTTTTCACAACCTTTTTCGCTAGCGAAATTTTATGATTTTTCGCGTGCTTCAAATTTCGTTTCGCTTTGATCTGTATACTACACGGTTAGAAAAAAGTACCCAAAATTAAGTTCTTTTCACTCATCTCGGCACTATAGTGCAGGAACCCAAAAGTAGGTAAAGCGGGTCAAAGTAAATTTCATTTACTTGTGTGCAATTCGTATGGAATTTTCCACTGGCTTTTTAACCAAAAGTAAGTTAGTTGTACCCAAAAGTAGGTAAATATGATTATACTCAACGTTGGGTTCCCACACTTTACTACCCTTGTTGGGTGGTTTTGCTCCTCCGTTTTTGACAACATTAGAAGGAGAAAAGGAGACAAACTAGTCAAAAGTAGGTAAAAGTGAACTTTCCGTTGGGTACTTTTTTCTTACCGTGTAGGCTTTACGTTGAGAATCAGATAGTGCTTGGGTTTGTTTACATTTTTTTGACAGTTCAAACCAAGGGGGCCGTTTGTTTGCATCATCAATCAAGGGGTATTGCCGACTACTTTATCTGTGCCGAAAGCTACACGGCGAATGAGAACGACTCACATTTGAGTTTAGTTCACTCATAATCGCCAAAAGTGCAGGAACTCAGTGATGAGTAAATTTGCCTCATGTTTTCCCAGGATTTTCCAGGGAAAAATTAACGAATTTGAGAAAAGTAAAGATTGGATTCACTCAGTCTATTGGTACTACTCCGAGACTGAATAAAATTTTCGTCAATTTCCTCATTTTCCTGCAGATTTTTTAGGTTTTCCACAGGAAACCATGAGACAAATTTTACTCATCGCTGAGTTCCTGCACTTTTGGCGATTATGAGTGAACTAAACTCAAATTTGAGTTGTTCTCATTCGCCGTGTAGGTCAAGCGTTTTGCTGAACGTTCCGAAGTGTGGCAATCAAGCTATCAGTCTCAGTAATCCATAAATTTGGCAACCCTGCACTTGTGACTTTTGAGATTGTGTGTTTACATTTTCAAGTCAAGGACGGACAAAAGTTTTGATAATATTCAACGAGCTGGTTGCCGGTGATCCGCTTCAAGGAAGTGGCACTCGAAGATTAGCCCCTCCGCGAGAAGGAAAAGGGTGACTCATGGCAGAAGCTGTCCATCCAGAAGAAGACAGTTCTCTACCGTGTGTCATTCTGGCAGACGTTTGCCAAAACCAAGTACCCAACCGGCAGTGGAAGATGAATCTTGTCTGCAATATCATCATGCTACTCGGGCAATGCTACTTCCTGAAAATAGAAAGGACTCAACCTAAAATACCCACCGGCGGTAGTAGTAGCAGCAATAGACCTGCAGTAGCTTCCCAGTGTCAGCAGTTGTGGTTAGGTACTAAATTCGTCTGACTGTTCTCCCTTTGTATGGAGGTCCATGGTTTATCCAAATGTCGGTCCAGAATCTCGATACTGGTTGCAGTCATTTGATGATTACCTCCTCCTTGTATCTGCCTGTTGTTCCTTCATATTTTTTTATCCTTGGTCATGCCGGAATCGCATATTAATCTCCCTGAAACTGCTGCCGGTTCCGATTGCGTTCATTAAGACCGCGATTCAGATTGGCTCTGTTACCTCCAGTGTTACCTTCACAATTCTGTTAGCAGCATCTTTCTTAACCCTCCGTTACTCGCGCCAACTTTTGTAACACGAGTACTCGCGCGTTGTACTTTGTACAACAGTGTGAGTTTTCCATTGCCATTTTGCAGCCGAGCTACCAATCGATAAGAAACCAACGGGTATTTCTTCAAAAACTTGTTTTTAACTAAACAAGCTAGACTTTTATCACAGTTAACCTCCAAAAAAATGCGGATAATAGAGAAAATGTGAATGGAAACCGCATAACCGGTGTCCGTACTACGTGGGATTTGACTTAATTGGTTACAACATGAAAGATCTCGAGATCCTGACCAGATAGAAAGTTACTGTCTCCGGCAAAGTTGTTCTAGAGATCATAACCTTTTTGCTAGTGAAGGGTAGTTCAGAAAATTCTCACTACGTGGCGCTAGTATATACGTGCAATTTTCGCATATGCAATAGCTTGAGATCCTGAGCAGATAGGAAGTTACTGTCTTCGGCAAACTTGTTCAGGGGGTCAAGATTTTTTGGCTGCTGAACAGTAGCCGAGAATTTTCTCACTACGCGGCGCTACTGTACACGTGAAATTCTCATATAAAATATCTCGAGATCCTGACCAGATAGAAAGTTACTGTCTTCGGCAAAGCTGTTCAGGTGATCATAAACTTTTCGCTGGGGAACAGTAGTTCAGAATCTTCTCACTAGGTAGCGCTCGTATACATGTAAAGTTCTCGCATGTGATACATCACTAGATCCTGACCGGCATTGCGGAGTAAATGTCTTTGGCAAAGTTGTTCAGGAAGTCAAGATCTTTTCTTTGGTGGACAGTTGTTCAGAATTTTCTCACTACGCGTGCAATTTTCGCATATACAATAGCTCGAGATCATGAGCAGATAGAAAGTTACTGTCTTAGGCAAACCTGTTCAGGGGGTCAAGATTTTTTGGCTGGTGAACAGTAGCCCAGAATTTTCTCAACACGTAGCGCTAGTAAACGTGTACAATTCTCGCGTATGCTATAGCTCGAGATCCGGAACAGGTAGAAAATTACTGTCTTCGAAAAAGTT